GGCTTTGGGGGAATGGTTCGGCCCTGGGTCACCCCCTTTCCTCACCTTTTTCGTGCTTATGTCGCGATACTGTTCCATTCGTATCGGGATCCCTGCATGTCCCTTGGTCAGGGGTGCCTTTGGGTCCATATGTACCTCCATGCATTTGTGCTCGTTTGTCACGGTTCTCATTGGTTCGCGATCCTCTTTGATACTTCAAATATTATTGGAACGTCTGTTGACTTCCAGTTTAAGTTTGCCTCCAGCCCTTTCTCGGACTCGTGGGTCCTTTTCCATCCTCCTTGTCTTCATTCGATTCTGTTTTGCCTTATTTTGTAGTCACATCGTCTCTCCTTCCTGTTTCGACATTCGTCATATTCGTTACATACTCCTTGCTGGTGTATGTACAACTGGTGTACGAGCCACGCCACACGGAAGACAGGTGGTGCAGTTCGTACCTCGGGCGCTGGCTTCGGGGTGATCGTTTTGTTTCTGAGTGGTTATCTTGAGGATATCTTGAGATGATTTCGGGGCTTTGCGTCCCCGCGGCCCAGTCCTTGACCAGACCTCCTTTTTGTTACACACCCCCTGGGAAGCAGCCCGTAGCAGCTGTCTACTGTTATTTACTGCTAGGTAACAGGACATCAGGGTGAAAGAAACATTTTGCCCATTTGTCTCCGCCTCCACCGGCGATCGAACCCGGAATCTCAGGACTACGAATCTGAAGCACTGTCCACCCAGCTGTCAGGGCCCCGGTTGTCAGGTGTTCACATATGTTCTGCATCCTTTCTCACTCATCTTCTCTCTCCAGTCATAGCCCCCTAGGTGCTGGGGATGTTCTGGATTTTATATGTGGGGACATCACTTCGTTCTTTTCTCTGTTTATGGGTATCGGGTGGCTCAGAGTGGAGCCACCTCCACCTCTGTCCTGCAACTCGTCTTCTGCTGGGCACGCATCTCTGGACATATTCCACTAGCGATGTTCCTGGTATGTTACTCGGCTCGACTGTGTCGTGACACAGTCGTGTCTCCGCTCTGCAGGTAAGATTGTACAGTCTGGCAACTCTGTTGACCAGGTGCTGGTTCTCAAATTTTGGTGGGGGTGTTGGTGTTGTGTGTTTTGCTTGGGCAATTTGCGTGAGTCTTACCGTGGCTTTCCTTGGTCAGTATTTCATGTTCTTAGTTACACTGTGGGACGCAGGTCAGGTATTCGATGCCTTTTGTTTAGTCTTTAGGCGCTTAAATTTTTTCTTGCTATCTGGACACTCCTTCGTTGCCTTAGTCTTTGCTGTCTGTTTATTCTTCCTTGCCTCGGTCTATGCTCTCTGGATGCTCCTTCCTTGCCTGTCTTTCAGGGCCTGGCTGCACCCTTCTATACATTGGAGTCTCTCTGTATATGTGGTTGGTCCTGTACCTTACGTTACCGGCTGCTACTTAGATCATCTTCGTTCGTCATATTCATTGCACTCTCTTGTCCCGAGCTCCCTGTGCTTGGACCGTTTTTCGGGTCTTTTCATTGTCTATTTCCATATTTCCTACCTCTATACTACGCATTGTGGTGCATCTTGGTAGGTGCTTATTGGCTATATTGAAGTTGGTGCTGGGTTGCCCTCTATACATGGTTTTGGGCTGTTTCACATGTACATGTTGTTTCTCTGCTTTTGGGCTGCCCCGGTGTTCAGTTCTGGACCTGCATTCTTTCATTTTCCTTGTATGTCTCTGCCAGTTTTTGTCCTCACCTAGTTTTACTCTCCTAGTTGTGCTTGTGGGGGTTGAGCTCTAGCTCTTTGGTCCCGCCTCTCAACTGTCGTTCAACTGGTGTACAGATTAATGAGCTTACCATACATACCTAATGAGCTCTACCATATCTACATTTTGGACCTGTGTCTGGAGTCTGCCTTCACCACATCACTGCCTAATGCATTCCATATATTAACTGCTCTGACACTGCACAGGTTCTTTCTAACATCTCTGTGGCTCATTGGGGTACTCGGTTTCCACCTGTCCCCTTCTTTGCATACCAACCATGTTTAACAGTTTCTCTTTCTCTCCCCTGTCAATTCCTCTGAGAATTTTGTGGGTAGTGTTCATATCTCTCCTTCCTCTTGTCTTTATGTCGTGAGTTGTATTTCCCCCAAATAGAGGGAATACAGAGAACATATACGGCACGCATAGACGAGATAAAGGACCTAAATTATTGGCATCGTCTCAAAGCTCTCCAAATGTACTCACTAGAAAGGAGACGAGAGAGATACCAAATAATATACACATGGAAAATACTGGAGGGACAGGTCTCAAATCTGCACAGCAAAATAACAACGTACTGGAGTGAACGACATGGAAGAAAATGCAGAATAGAACCAGTGAAGAGCAGAGGTGCCATGGGCACAATCAGAGAACACTGTATGAACATCAGAGGTCCACAGTTGTTCAACGTCCTACCAGCGAGCATCAGAAATATTACCGAAACAACCGTGGACATCTTCAAGAGGAAACTAGGTTGTTTTCTTCAAGAAGTATCGGACCAACCGGGCTATGATGGGTATGTGGGCCTGAGGGCCGCTCTAAGCAACAGCCTGATGGACCAAACTCTCACAAGTCAAGTCTGGCCTCGGGCCGGGCATGGGGAGTAGAAGAACTCCCAGAACCCCATCAAGCAGGTATCCCCCCAGCCTGTCCTTGAAACTCATGCCTCTTCACTCGGGGACTAGCCTTGTGGCGTACCTCTGCACTTTTTCATGCTTCATCTTGTGCTTGACAAGATATGGGCTCCATGCTGCAGCCATTTGCTCCGGGATTGGTCTTTTATATGTGGTATACAAGGTGCTTGCACTGTCCGAGGGTGGATGTTGATTCCGATTACCCACTCCTGCCACTACGGATCCTTTTCGTTGCAATAGGAGGAGCTCATTTTCTGGTCCTGGCTGTGGCTTTTGTATTCCTTTCACGGACGTTCTTTTTGTTTTAGTGTGGTGTGCGTCCTGCGTAATTCTCCTCATATATACTTCGGTGATGCGTGTGTCGTTTTTCCCTGCTGGAGCTGGTTGCGCTTCTCCTGCGGGTTGCGTGGTCGCTGTTTTCACTTCGTGTTTTGGTTTGTGATCCTCGTTTCCTTGTGGGCCTCTTATTGGTACCCTTTGGTATTGGTATCCCACTTGTGTGGGAGCCGGTCGGCCGAGCGGACAGCACGCTGGACTTGTGATCCTGTGGTCCTGGGTTCGATCCCAGGCGCCGGCGAGAAACAATGGGCAAAGTTTCTTTCACCCTATGCCCCTGTTACCTAGCAGTAAAATAGGTACCTGGGTGTTAGTCAGCTGTCACGGGCTGCTTCCTGGGGGTGGAGGCCTGGTCGAGGACCGGGCTGTGGGGACACTAAAAAAAAAGCCCCGGAATCATCTCAAGATAACCTCAAGATAACCCTGGCGGCTGTTCCTTTTGGTTCTTTGCCAGCCTTGGCTGGGAGCGTTTCTTTGCTTGGTGTCCGATCCAGAGTGTCTTCCCACGGCTCCCCCTCTTTTTGTGGATCGGTCCAGCCCAGTACACTGCTGGCTTGTTCTTCCCCTCGAGTCTTCAAGTCTCGGGTTCTCGTCACTTGTGTGGGCGCTGGTGGCTTCGTTGTTGGTCTCCCTCCTGCGTGCTTTGTCTCAACGGCAGTGTGTAGTTCCACACGGTCTTTCCAGTTTTCTTATTACTGCGTAGATGTACTACGGTCTCTGATAGGGTTGTCTTGTCCTTCCGTTCGGTGTTGTTCCAGGACCGTCATTGGTGCCAGGTATTGTCGCCTCGTATCGAGCGACGCTGGAGGGGTTGCTCCAGCTTGCATTCGGTGTTGCTGTTCCTTCTGCTCTGTTCTGCTTGCTGTCTAGTTTGTTTTTAACCTCCGGTATGCTGATGCGCTTTCAATGCCGTCCTGGTCATTGGTCCGGGTGGTCTATCTTCTTTCTTCTCCTTGGTTTGTCGTGACCCCTTCGGTTCTGGTGTATTTTTTCTGCTCGTTAGGTCCTGGTGGTAGGTTATTCGTTTGCTGCAGTCTCCTACTTTTCGGGTGAAGTTTGGGTCTGCTGTTTTCCAGAGGGGTCCTTGGGTTGCTGTTTGTTGGTCAGGCCGGGAGTGCTTTGTGTATTGTGTTCGGTTGCGGCTCTTTGCTGTTTTCTGCACGTCTTGGCCTCTGGGGCCATGGGTGCGTTTTGGTTTGCCCGGGTTCCCTTCCTTCCTGTTCTGGAGTTAGGGTTTCCCGGGTCATCTGCGGGGTCCTTTGGTTTGGCCTGTGGTTTTGTTTTTCGGTTGGATGCGTGGCGTCCGCCTTCTGGTTCCTTCCCTCACCCTTATCTGTGGTGAGGTAGCTCCTGGGAGTCGACGGGGCTCCCCCCTCCCCCAGAAAACCAGCATTGAATATAATGAAATGCCATTTTCTAGGTGAGTCCTGGAGGCTCCCCGGCATCCCTCCCTCCCTCCCTCCGATCGGTGGTGTTTTTCGTGTATTTTGACATCCAGCCTAAGAACTGCAGGTTGGATCACCGGCTCGGAGGGTCTGGGGCTCCCCCTTCCCCCTACCAGGGAGGAGGGGAGGGGTCGCACAGACGGCGGCACGGCGACGTGATGACATCATGCTCATTTGTTAATTTTGTTTGAGGAGTTCTGTCACTCGTTCGGCTTTTGGTATCAATATTTTCACCAGAATGGAGGTTTGTTTTGGGGTGCCTACCTCTCTGGGTGCCTATCCCAGTTAAATTAGGCAATTAAATTAAATTAAATTAGGCAGACATAGAATGCTCCCAACCATGGGGGGGGGGGTTTTCTATAGGCCATTGCTCCTTGTGCCACTCAGATGGGGGAGCAGGTTCTGGCTCGTGGTCCCCGGTAGGCAAGAACTCCATGCACTTTGACTGATGCCAGAAAGTTATACATATCCATTCAGCCTGGATAACTCCAAGGAGCCTCTGGGACTCACCCAGAAAATGTCGTTTTATTACATTCAACGTTGGTTTTTTCTTGATATAACATTTCACTATTTGTTTCAGGAACAGAACCTGACGCAACAAAGATGAATCAAGGATTGACTCCATTTGTGGTAATGTCTTTTTATCTGTTTTATGCATTTTATGGAAATATACAGTATTATTATAATGATCTGTTACATTTATACTTTCAAGTTGGCTAATCTAGAAGTGACATCAAAGTTATTAGTCCAAGTATTGTCTTCTGTGGAAAACATTGTTGTCGATCAAAATTCATTACCCTTTCTTTAGATAAGTTTTCTTTGACACATTAAATTAGATAAAAACTTTAAATTATCTGTATTGAATTGTTATTCTCTGTTCCTTGAAGTATTTAATATATTTATGATGTGTACTGCTTCTCCCCATCTTCCCATCTCCCTTCTCCCCATCTCCCCACGTGGAGGGGAGATGGGAAGTCCAGCGTGAGGTGGGGGGGGGGGAGGGGGTTACCAGGCAGAACGTGTGATCTGCTTCTGTCCAGTCTCACCCACCCTCCCACTTGTTCACACATCTGCCAGCATGCCCACCTATCCACCTGCCAACCCAGCCACCTGTTCACTCATCAGCCTGCTCGCCCACCTGCCTGCCTTGCATGCCTACCGCTCAACCCACCCACCTGTTCACCCACTTCCTGCTCGCCCACCCACCTGACTGATAGCCCACCCATCCACCCACCCACCCACCTGTTCATCCACCTTCCTGCTCGTGCACCCACCTGCCTGATAGCCAACCCACCCACCTGTTCACTCACCTTCCTGCTCACCCACCCACCTGCCTGATAGCCCACCCACCCACCCACCTGTTCACCCACCTTCCTGCTTGCCCACCCACCTGCCTGATAGCCCACCCACCTGCCTGATAGCCCACCCACCCACCTGTTCACCCACCTGCCTGCTCGCCCACCCACCTGCCTGATAGCCCACCCTGCCACCTGTTCACCCACCTTCCTGCTTGCCCACCCACCTGCCTGATAGCCCACCCACCTGCCTGTTCACCCACCTTCCTGCCTGATGGCCCACCCAGCCTCCTGTTCACCCACCTGCCTGCTCGCCCACCCACCTGCCTGATAGCCCACCCAGCCACCTGTTCACCCATCTGCCTGTTTGCCCATCCACCAACCTGAGTGCTCGCCCACCCACCCACCTGTTCACCCACTTCCCTGCCCATCCACCTGTTTACCCACCTGCCTGCATGCCCACCCACCCACCTGCCCACTCACCTGTTTACCCACCTACCTGCACCCCCACCTGCCTTCTCACCCACCCACCTGTTCACCCACTTCCCTGCCCACCCACCTGTTTACCCACCTGCCTGCATGCCCACTTACCCACCTGCCAATCCACCCACCCACCTGTTCACCCACCTGCCAATCCACCCACCCACCTGTTCACCCACCTGCCAATCCACCCACCCACCTGTTCACCCACCTGCCAATCCACCCACCCACCTGTTCACCCACCTGCCTGCTCCCCCACCCACTTGCCTGCTCAAACCTGTTCACCCACCAAGCCCATCTGCCTGCCATCCACCCATCCAAAACTTACCTGCCTGAACCCACCTCTTCCTGCTTGCCCACCCACCCACCTTTCTGCCCACCCACCCACCCACCTGTTCACTCACCTGCCTGCTCGCCAACCCACCCACTTGCCTGCTCGAACCTGTTCACCCACCAAGCCCATCTGCCTGCCATCCACCCATCCAAAACTTACCTGCCTGAACCCACCTATCCCTGCCTGCCCACCCACCCACCTTTCTGCCCACCCACCCACTTTCCCTGCCCACCTACCAGCTAGGCAGCTAACCACCCACCCAGCCCCACACACTAATTAGTGTGTGTCAATTCAAATCATGTGTGTGGTATAAAAATTGTCGGAAATGGTCTCTTTTGGACTCAGAGGTGAATAAGTACTCCTATCCAGAAAATGTGATTATCCAGCTGGAGGTCCTTCCCATATAGTCCGGATAATCGAGTGGAGACAGTATATCAGTTCGATAGCTTCATGTTTCATGGAGTTTCCGGGGCTTCACCCAGAAAATGGTGTTTCATTACATTCAGTGCTGGTTTTTGCAACATTCCCTATGTTGCTCTCTATTCTTATTCTTGATGTTTCACCTTCTCTGTGTGCTTTATATAACCTAGGCTTTAGACTTTAAACTTAAAAGCTTTATAAAAGTCTTATATACTGTTGCACGTGAAAAACTATTGAAAACCCATTAAGATCAATCACATAGGGGATTTGTGCAAAATAAATCAACATATAGCAATTGGTACAGTTAAAGTGTTGGCTAATGGCTCCTTTAACCTTATTTGTGGTAATTAGCACTATTATATGGTGCTAAGCAGTGTAGCTGGTAGTTAATAATAATCAATAGTTAGCAGAATAGTAATTGGCTATCCTTGCAGTCCCAGCAATATTTACCAAAAGTTATTTAGTGGCTTACTTCTACTCTTTTGTCTTATAACAAGCAGTCAGTATAAAGTTATTTGTTTCATTGGGGCCAAAAGTGGAGTAGAACCTTGTGTGTGAGCAGTGTATTGGGTGGAGCCAAGCCCTGACTTGGTAAACAACTGAGGGTCTGCTCAGTAAGGTATTCATTCCACTGAATGCCATACCTTGTAGCACATCAAACCCTCACTGTATTATGAAGTTTGAGTAACTGTTTTATCCTGTTTGTTTTACAATTAAAGTTTGTTCCAACCATCTGTATGTTTTGTGTTTCCTAATAATGCTACCACTTCGATGAGAGAATGGCCCGTTGTGGAATATTATCTATTGCACTTATAAAGGGTTTTTAGAATCACTTGAAAGAGTGAGTTATGTTGTAAGTAAAAAATATTATTTTGTTGCAGGTTTATCATATGCCAGTAATGTATGGTGGTTATGGATATGGGTACAATCAGCAATGGGCATATTCGTATCCAGTGATGCCCTCACCTGCTGTAGAGGATGGCAAGCACACACCTCTTCCTGGTTAGTAATCTAGTTTCCTAACATCAAAATAGATATAACTTTTTGTGATCATAGTACTGATAGTGTACTTATTGAATGTTCAACATAGAGTAATGTAATGAAACACCATGTTCCGGGTGAGACCCGGAGGTTCCGGCGAAATCCCTCCCTCCCTCTTACCTTGAGGTTACCTTGAAGTGCTTCTGGGGCTTAGCGTCCCCGTGGCCCGGTCATCGACCAGGCCTCCTGGTTGCTGGACTGATCAACCAGGCTGTTGGACGCGGCTGCTCGCAGCCTGACGTATGAGTCACAGCCTGGTTGATCAGGTATCCTTTGGAGGTGCTTATCCAGTTCTCTCTTGAACACTGTGAGGGGTTTGCCAGTTATGCCCCTTATGTGTAGAGGAAGCGTGTTGAACAGTCTCGGGCCTCTGATGGTGATAGAGTTCTCTCTCAGAGTACCTGTTGCACCTCTGCTTTTCAACGGGGGTATTCTGCACATCCTGCCATGTCTTCTGGTCTCATGTGATGTTATTTCTGTGTGCAGGTTTGGGACCAGCCCCTCTAATATTTTCCATGTGTAAATTATTACGTATCTCTCCCACCTGCGCTCAAGGTAGTACAGATTTAGGCTCTTTAGTCGGTCGCAATAGTTTATATGTTTTACTGAGTGGATTCTAGCAGTAAAGGATCTCTGCACGCTCTCCAGGTCAGCAATTTCTCCAGCTTTGAACGGGGCTGTCATTGTGCAGCAGTACTCCACTCTAGAGAGAGCACAAGCGTTTTGAAAAGTATCATCATCAGTATAGCATCTCTAGTGTGAAAAGTTCTTGTTATCCAACCTGTCATTTTTCTTGCAGTTGTGACGGCTACTTTATTGTGTTCTTTAAAGGTAAGGTCTTCCGACATGAGTACACCCAGATCCTTTACATTGCCTTTTCGTTCTATGTTATGATTTGCCTGAGTTTTGTACGTGGTTTCCGTTTTTATATTTTCATTTTTCCGTAGCGCATAAGCTGTAACTTATCTTCGTTAAACACCATATTATTTTCTGTAGCACATAGAAAGACCTGATCTACATCTGATTGGAGGTTTGCCGTGTCCTCTATGTTGCCTACTCTCATGAAGATCCTAGTGTCATCTGCAAAGGATGATACAGTGCTATAGGTTGTGTTCTTGTCTATGTCCGATATGAGGATGAGAAAAAGTACTGGAGCAAGCACAGTACCCTGGGGGACTGTGCTCTTCACAGTTGATGGGCTGGATTTTATTTTGTTGACTATTACACATTGGGTTTTGTTAGTCAGGAAATTGTAGATCCATCTGCCTATTTTTCTGGTAATTCCTTTTGAATGCATTTTATGTGCAATAACACCATGGTCACATTTATCAAAAGCTTTTGCGAAATCTGTGTAAATTACATCAGCGTTTTGTTTATCTTTCATAGCATCTAATGCCATATAGTGGTCCAGCAACTGCGACAGGCAAGAGCGCCCTGTTCTAAAACCATGTTGTCCGGGGTTATGGAGATGCTGTGATTCCATGTATTTTGTGATCTTACTTCTTAGCACTCTCTCAAAATTTTTTATGATGTGCGATGTTAGTACTGTCGGTCTGTAATTTTTTGCCTCTGCCTTGTTTCCTCCTTTATGAAGTGGTGCTATCTCTGTTGTTTTTAGTATATCAGGGATATACCAGTATGTAGGCTGGTATATCCCTGATATACCAGCCAGATACTGAAGCCAGTATCTAGGCTTTGTCTCCACAGAATGTGGAGGGCCTGCGATAGTGGTTTTTTACAGTTCTTGATGAATATGGAGTTCCAAGAATCTGGGCCTGGTGCAGAGTGCATAGGCATACTGTTTATGGCTTCTTCAAAATCCAGTGGGGATAGGGTGATGTCTGATATATGATTTGATGTTGGTATCATATCCATGAAAAATTAATTTGGGTTATCAATCTTTAGTGCGTTTAATGGCTCGCTGAAAACAGAGTCGTACTGCTTCCTCAGTAACGCGCTCATTTCTTTGTTATCATCAGTGAAAGTTCTATCTCCCTTTCGCAGGGGCCCGATACTAGATGTGATTTTTTATCTTGATTTTGCATAGGAGAAAAAATATTTCGGATTTCTCTCTATTTCACTGATGGCCTTTTGCTCTCTCTGCCTCTCCTGGGTTTTGTATGATTCTTGTAGCTTGAGTTCAATTGTTTCTATTTCTCTACCTAATCTTCTTCGCCGTTCTTGAGATAGAGTGCGACTCAAGTTGTTTCGCGATTCGTTTTCTTCGCCTATATAGGGAATGACGTTCCCGTTCCAATCTGCATCTCTTCCTCTTTTTTTTCTTAGAGGTATGTGGTTTGAACATATTTCTAGTGCTACTGAGCTTATTTTTTCCAGGCACTGGTTCAGATTTGCATTTTCTAGCTGTTCTTCTCAGTTTATTTCTGTGAAGTCCTGGTTTATTTGCTCCCAGTTTATCTGTTTATTATTGAAGTTGAATTTGCTGAAATCTCCTTCACCGGGAATCTGGACTGGTTTTGAAGGTGTATTCCCCATTGTTGTCATAACTTCAATTAAGTTGTGATCTGACTGACGTCTGGTCGGCGTTTCTTTGCGATTTTTTACATCCAGCCTCAGAACTGATGGTGGATAGCCAGTGCAACAGGTCTTGGGCCCACCTTTCCCCTCCCAGCAATGGGCGAGCTGTGCAGACATCAGCGCGGTGATGTGTGACGTCATGATCGTTTGCTCGTTTCTCTTAGGGGAGTTCTATCTTCTTGTTCGGCTTATGGTAGCAATTTTCACCAGAATAGTGGTTTGTTTTGGGACGCTTACCTTTCTGGGTATCTGACCCACTCGATGGCAGACATAGAATGCATCCAACTACATGGGGGTTTCTATAGGGCATTGCTCCCCATGCCTTTCTGAGGGGTTCAGGTTCTGGCCCGTGGTCCCCAGTAGGCCCATAGAACTCCATACACATGACTGATGCCAAAGTCTGACATTAGCATATCAGCCTGGATAAGCTCTGTGGAGCCTCCAGGTCTCACCCAGTAAATGGTGTTTCAGTACATTCAACACTGTTTTTTTTTTTCTACACCTGCCTGGGATTACCTGGGCGTTAGTTTCCATTAAGCGTTCAGGACCCTATGAATTCCCTGGGGGTGCGGGTCCGATGAATGAGTCCCTGAATTCCCCCCCCCCCCTCGCTTCGTGCGAGTTCGAGGGGTTTCTCGGTCCCCTTGACTCAGTGTTTTTGCCTCTATCACGCTACCTGTTGGGTCGGTAACACCTTTTACCCGGAGTCGTGCGAGTTCTGTTGCTTGCTCGTGACTCAGTTTATCCAATCTCAAGATGATGTTTTACGAGTACAGGCGGCGCAGGCATTGTATGCTCGTTTTAGGTTGTTGCAGGGCGCTAGGTTGGTTGCTCACCTGGATGCCCAGAGGCTGCTCAGTTTTGCTTATAGGGACCCGGACTTGGGGGTGGGGGTTACTTCGACCTTGGTTCAATCCGCACCCTTTCATCCTTTCCCTGCTGTGGTGCATCCTGGTTTCCCCTCCCCCTTCCCTGCCCTGCTTCCGGCCCCGAAATGTCTGAGGGTTTCGGAGTCGAGGCAGGGTTTAGATGGTCTTGAGTCTCGGGTGGTCTCGGGGAATGCCCCTTCAGGTGCGTCGACGGAGGCATTCGAGTCCACTATCCCTGTCGAAGCCTTTAGGTCTGATCAGTGGGCCCCCTCTTCAGTTCGGCTTACTCGGCTGCACCGGCTTTTTCTTTAGGGGCCGGTGCTCTGTGTGATGACTCGGCCCTGAATCCCAAGGAGGGGGATCTCGGGGCTGGGGAGGGGCTGACTGAGGGGCCTTGGGCCCGGCTGTACCCCGCCTGGGATTTTCTACCCTCGGTGCGGGCTTATTGTTACAAGGAGTAGGGTTCTTTTTCCCCCCCCCCTCTGCGTATGAGTTGAATTTGGCATCTGGCTCTCCCCGAATTCGGTTCTGTGTTCCCTCAGGTGCGTCAGTCCCATCTTTCTGGAGATTTTCGGCTTCCTGCATCCAACCGTCTGCGGTGCAGGCTGCCCTGGCGTCTTACCTCCTGCGTAACCCGGAGTATCCCTCGGTGATGGATCCGTGGTCTTTCAGGTTTGGGAATTCGTTCTCTTTCTGGGTACGTTACGAGGTTCTAGAGTCCTCCTGGCTTTCGGACTATCCTATTTTTGCTTTGGATGCTCGGTATTCTTTCTGTCGTTTCCGCACGCTTGAGTGGTGCGAGATCTCGACAGTGGTTCAAGTTTTCCTGGGGGGCAAACTTGAGCACCTCAGTGAGTGTTTGTTTGCTCCTCTTCTTTCCAGGGATGTTAGCGTTCTGAAGCTCCATGTGCAGATTCCCTCCCTTTCAGCTGCGCAGGTGGCTGAGGACTTGCGTGGCCGGGGCCTCTTGGCTTCGGCCTTTGCACTTCTTTTCCCTCCTGGAGCTGTCTTCGAACTGGCTTGGGGAGAATGTGGGGGCGGTCGCGTCCATTCCGGGGTTCGGTGCCCCTGGCTCTGTGGCGCACGCGTCGTCTTCTTTGTTGAAGCTGTTTGTGCCAATCTTGCAGGATGCGGTTTCCCCTGTTTCCCTTCCCAACTCGTGTGTCGGCAGGCGGTGCTTGCCTTCTCCTTCGAATCAGCCTGGGCCCTGGCTCTTAGGATGTCTTCTCCTTTTCTGTCCTTTGCTTATTTCTCCTTCAGCCGTGGCGCAGTATATTCAGGCTGCTTCGGCCAGTTGCCATCCTATGTCTGACATGGTTCTCTGGGGGTCCTTGGGAGGGGGGGCTTCCCAGAGAGGTCGTGCCAGGCCTTGGGGTTCCACTCGTCGTGGTAGAGCACTAGTGCCAGTTTCGGGTTCGTCTCTGCCTTTGGACCCGCCTTTGTCTTGTCAGTGCGGTGCTCGCTTTGCGAGGTTCTGGGTCTCGCCTGCCCTTTCGCAGTTCACCCCATTGACAGGGCGATGGGGGGGTGGAGGCTTGCGCTGTTCGCTCATGC